TGACCCTGAACAAGTCACTTAATCCCAATTGCCCAAAAATAAAAAAATAAAGACAAGGAAAAAAAAAAGCCAAAATTGCCTCCACCAATGCAGACTGACAACTTTTCTGTAACTTTTGAATTTAGGGGTAACTGGGTCACCACTAAGTAATCTGCCCAGAGAAGCAAAGCAAATTTGTCTCAGAGGCTGGACTAGTTATGCAGACAATTTGAGAAATTCAAGAAAAAAACTAAATGAGGCAATCTATCAGTAAAATTATAAGATATAACAATACACAAAAATACATACACAAAAATCAACATCATTTCTATATAAGAAACCAAAATCCAGAAGGAAATGAAGGAAAGTCCGACAAAATGAATAAAACATAATGAAAATCAATTGCTCAGGAAGCATAATTACAAAGTACTTGTTAAAGAACTTAAGAAAGTCAAATAATTGTAAGTATGTTTATTATAGAGAGTTAAACTATTGTTGTCAGATCATTTGCAATCATGGCTAAAATGAATTTTCCTGATTCCAAGCCCAGTGCTCTATCTACTGTGCCACCTAGCTGTCCCAGAGTCAGGAAGCCCTGAATTCAAATCCAGTCTCAGACACTCATTGTGTGACAGTGGGCCAGTCATTTAACCTCTGTCTCTTGCAGTTTTCTCAAATGTAAAATGGGGATAATAATAGCACCTATCTCACAGGGTTGTTGTGAGGATCATATGAGATAATATTTATAAAGTTCTTAGCATAGTGCCTAGAACATAGTAGATACTCAATAAAATGTTTGATTCCTTTCTTAAACTATTAACTTGAGAATAGGGATTTCTGTTGCTTTTCATCTTTATATCTCAAAGTGTGTAGCAGTCTTTAGACACTTTAATAAAATGTTTGTTGAACTGATCCAATGAATTTGTGATTAAAAATTAATAATTAAGCCATTGTTGTTATTCATAATTTAGAATTAGGATTACCACAGCTTTTTATCTGTTACCTACAGACCTGGCTTAGGTCTATACACTATAAGATAAAATGCTTAAATCATTGTATTCAAAATCAACAGTTGTTAGTCATAGATATGTAGTTGAAATAGAAGACCAAGTTATTAGGAGATTTTCTACAAATACTACATTCAGAAACCTTATTTTTCATTTATGAAATTTGAGGTCTGAATCTTTTAATATCAGTTATTTCACAATCCTCTATGGTATTTTGGACAAGAACAGTAAACATATTTGTTGAATTTATGCTTCAATCAGCAGAAGTCACTTGTAATGTCTGAAGACAGAAAAAAGTATGACAAAGATATACACACATATACACATATGTATTTATATGATAATGTATGTCACATATAATAAATATATAATCATTATCGTGTGTATAATATTATCATGATGTGTTGGCAGAAAAATCCAAATCTGAATATAAATTTTATATATTGTGTTCTCAGAGAATCACCAGTTAGATTTCTTTTTATACAAAGCATTAAATCATAGAATTTAAATAGAATGGGGAAAGGCCCAAACATAAATCTTTGGTATTCCCCTTCTCTTTCCACTCCTCTAGTTCCTACTATAAATGATAGTAAAAATGTCTAACTGCCACTGCCAGTGTTTACAATTAGTTATCCAACTATTTTTTTCCTTTTTTTAAAATTTAGATTTAAATACATAAGAAAAGAAAAATAAACATTATAAACTTAAATATTAAAGCTTAAATATAAAATAAGAAAAGAAAAAAAGTCATGTACATAGCAGAACATGAGAGGATTCAAAATATATAGCAATAAATTTCCACTTCAAGAAAGCATATATATTAAATACTATGCATTGTGTTGAGAGCTATCCATCTTTTCTTTGCTTCCTTGTAGGTTTTCTTTTGTTCTCTGCTATACACTTTTTATTTTTTTTCCCCCTGTTCCCCCCCTCTCCCTACCTCAGAGGCTACAATTAAGCTTAGATATAGTTAGATATAGATATAGATATATACATAAATGTATACATATATACATATACATACATAGATACATAATATATACTTTCCCTATCAGATTCTACTCCTAATCTTTATTTTTATGTTTTATGTTTATCCTTCCTGACTCTTCCACTTTACTTTTACCCACTACTTTGCCTCCACATTACTTAACCTACTCCCACAATGATCCCTCCCTTATCCTTCCATTCCCATAAATCAAAACACCCTTCTATCTTCCCCTTTAACTTATTCCCTCACCCTCCCCTCTAAAGATCTCTCCCTTATCCTCTCCCCCTCCCTATCTCCTTAGTATTATTTCTTTCTGAAATTTAGAAGACTTTTATACTCTTCCAGATGTATATGTACTGTTCCCTCTTGAACCCATTCCTGATGAGAGTAGGTTTCCAGAACTAACAGCCCTCCTCCCCCATCTAATTCCTCTGTATCAGTTCTTCCTCTCACACCTCATTTGTATAAGATAATTACTCTTTTTATCTGTTTCTGAATGTTTTTACTTTTTGAAGTCATATCATGCTCAGGTCTACCCCAATCTTTCTTATAAACTACCCAATTGCTAATAACAATCTTAGACATATATTTTACATCCTTATTGAGTCCCTTGTTATTGGTCTTTGGTGTGTACCTTATGTTTCTCTTGGCTCTTGTATGTCAAATCTTCTAGTAAGTTCACTTTTTTTTTGAACAAAGTCCTGAAAGTCTGACAATTCATTAAATGTCCATTTTTTTTTTATTCAGAATTATGCTTAGCATTGCTGGGTATGATATCTTCGGCCGCAACCCTAGTTCTTTTGCCCTTTGATATATAGTGTTCCAAGACCTATGGTCTTTTAGTGTCACTGCTGCTAGGTTTTGTGTGATTCTAATTGTGACAGTGCCATATTTAAAAATTTTTTTCTTGTTGCTCATAATATTTTATTCTTGAGCTGGGGATTTCAGAATTTGACTATAATATTCCTGTGGGTTTTCCTCATAGGAGCTCTTTCAGGTGGTGATTGGTGGATTTTTTTCTATTTCTACTTTCCCCTCTTCTAATCATTAGAAGCCAAGCTTCAGGGCAATATTCCTTAATTATTTTTTATATTATTGTGTCAAGATTCTTTTTCTGATCATAGCTTTCAGGTAATCCAATTATTCTTATGTTTTCTCTTCTTAATCTCTTCTCTAGATCAGTTGTTTTTCTTATGAGATGTTTCACATTCTCTTCTATTTTTTCATTCTTTATATTTTGTTTTATTATTTCTTGATCTCTTATAACTTCACTGGCTTCTTCTCGCCCAATTCTATTTATCAAGGAGTCATTTTCTTTCTTAAAATTCTGGATCTCCTTTTCTAATTGGTTGACTTTCTTTTCATAATCTTCAAAAGAGGATACTGTCCCCTCTTTTAAGCTACTCTAAATGAGAGTGTGTACATGTGCTCGGAGGTGGAGGTAGGAATACTCTTTACCTCCTATGATGGTAATTGGAAGAAATATAGTGCAACTTTATTGAGCATCTATGATTATGCCAGGTACCACACTAGACATTGGGGATACAAAGACAAAAATAGTCTTTGCCTTCAAATGGCTTATATTCTATTGGGGCAACAACATGGACACACACACATCTTATCTATCTAGATAAATACACACACACACACACATCATCTACATCATCTATATCTACATATGTGTATATACACATACATGCACATATACATATGTGTGTATACACACACACTCACACACACACATACACATCTATCTATATATTTGGGTCATAGGGTCATGAAGAGTTGTACATAACTGAACAATAACAAAAAAGTTCCAGTAACTGTGCTCAGCACTTTACACATTCTTTCATTTAATCTTTACAACAACCCTTAGGGTAGGTGTTATTAAGATCTCTATTTTGTAGTTGAAGAAACTGAGGCAGACAGAGATTAAATGATTTTACCTAGGGTCACACAGCTACTAAGTGTTTGAGGCCACATTTGAACTCAGATCTTCCGGACTCCAGGACTCTAACCACACTGTGCCATCATAAATTTGTAAAGGTCTTAAAATGCCAAACAGAAAAGTTTGCATTTGATTTCAGAGGCAATAGGGAATCAGTACCCTATGCCTTCTGGCATAGATGCCAACAATACCAAGAACTGAAAGGCCTGGGAGGACAGATAGGTAAGTTGGTAAGATCAGTGAATCACAACCCCTTCATTCACTCCTTGTGGTCTCATGTGAAAGAGACAACATCCAGTTAGACAAATTATATCCCCTAAGGGCCTGCCCTCATCCATCACCTTACAGACTAGATCTTTGTCCTGCCTGATGGAATTTTATTTTCCTTATCCATTTGGAAGAAAAGACATTGTGTTTTGTTCAAATCCTGCTTTTATATAGGCAAAATGAAGGAGAGAATTGAAGTAATTTAGGGGATGAGAGTAAAAAACACTAACACAAAACTGAATTATCCATATGGATTGATACCAGTTTCAAGATGTGAAGTGCTCAACTCTTCAACTCTAACTAAAGAGATCTAACTTGAGTCAAAAAAAGAGAGAATACATCATGGTTTCTGCTAAGCCACAATGCTTAGCCACTTGAGGTAATACCATCTATCCATTTAAAAACTAAATTTTCATGTAACCTGAGTGTTTACAGACTTATTTTCCTTGCAGCAAACCTTGACAAAAATTTTCTTCATGGCTTTTAAATCACAGATTAGTAAAGTTTTTATTTTAAAAGTTTAAACTGAAAATTTAAAAGATTCTCCCCAAGTCTGGCAAAGAAAGGGAATGAATAACAATGTCCCTTTAGAATTACCTTCTATCATTTGGAACTCAGTTTTAAAGATGAATGTTAAAAATTGTTTTTATATCTAACTGGGGAAAAATCAAATACTCAATAAAAGCTTAAAAAAAAATTATCTTCCATTATTTGCCTCAGAAGACTTAGGGAAAACATATGTCATAGTATATCTGGGTGGTGTGTCCTTATATATTGTTGTGGCCTTATATATTCATTTAGAAACCATTACCTGTTATCTGCTTTTTAGTCTCCAAGTCTCTGGTTTGCTTCAGGACCTGGAGCAATCGAGGAATCCCATTCAGTTCAGCTATTTCCATCTTGTTGTCATTGTCTTCAAATGCCAAATTTCTTAAGGCGCCACACGCTGCCCTCTGTATATCCTCATTCTGTACTTTTAGGAGCTGTAGAAGCTTGGGTATGCCCCGAAGTTCATTAACCTGAAGGAGGAAATCCACATTCCATCATGTTTAATTACCTTGTGACTTTGCTTTGGTATAGAGGCCTATCATGTAATGACCTCAGATTTTGTTCTTTGTTATTTTGTGGGTTTAAAACATCAATCAAAAGCTATTTATGTGGGGGCAGCTAGGTGGCGGAGTGAATAGAGCTCTGGCCTTGGAGTCAGGAAGACCCAAGTTCAAACCCAGCCTCAGGCACTTAACACTTACTAGCTGTGTGACCCTGGGCAGGTCACTTAACCCCAATCGCCTCACCAAAAAGCAAACCCCACTCCCCCAAAAAAACCCCAACCTATTTATATGTATATTAAGTGACACAATATAACAACAGTAGCTAACATTTATATTAACTTTAAGATTTGCAAAATGCAAACATATATTATTTCATTTGATCCTCACAACAATCGTGTAAGATAGGTAGTACCATGAGCTTCATTTTACACATGAGGAAACAAGGCTCAGAAAAGTTAAATGACTTGTTCAGGGTCACCCAGTTTGTGTTGGAGATAGGATTTGAATTAGGGTCTTCCAGACTTCTGTACAGTGCTCCATCCACTACTCCACCTAGTTTGGTCTCTTCCCCTCAGAGCTTATAATCTGTTTGGAGAGACAATACTAAGACACTTGAAATAATTAGAGAAAAATGGAAGACATTGTGTGGTTACAGATTCAGTGATACAGAAGGCAAGTATGAAAGGAACTCAGAGGAGGGAGAGGTCAATAGAGGAGATCAAAATAGTTAAAAATTCTTGGTGAAGTATCAAGTTACACAAATTTTTATTCCAGGAAAAGTGTTATAATTGCAAAATAAATAGAAATTCAAGAAAGAAATAATTTGCTGTGTTAGTCCTATTTGCCAGTTATTTGTGTAATCAACTACATAATTATTTACAAATATTTATATAAATTAGCTTTGTCTACATAGAAACATTTGGACTTAAAATAATTTTGTAGTTTTAAAATGCCATTTCTTGATTTTTTTAGAAAGTAGTGTAAGTTAGGGAGAATATCAAGAAGGTAAGAAATAGAGAAAGGTCAGAGAAGGTTTGGGGGTAGAAAAAACTGTAACTAATTCAACTTGGATTCTGAGACCACTGACTTTTTAGAAATAGAAAAGAATAAAGCCAGCTTGATAACTTGTTCTTGTATATTAGGTTATACATAACATATAAAGCATATAGCTTAGGGATGGAGATAGATCCTATGCCAAGAGGGGGTGGTTGGGCAAATTTCTTAAAGTAAAGTTGCATGGGCTCTGGTGGCTTCTCTCCTGTTAGATTTATATTAATATCAGATTTGTTTTTCTTTTGATGTTGGAAATATCAATCTTTTGTTGGTATTCTGGTTTATTTCCATAAGTAGTCTATTAGTTCTGAGTTTACTTCTGAGAAGAATGTGGTATTATTGGGAACTTGAAGAGAGAAGAAAAGCTTTGGAACAATCACTGAAGGGAATGGAACAGAGCCAAATAAAGTATAAAAGTTTTAGTATGTAGCAGTGAGGGCTGTTCCAGTTGAGGTTAAATAATAAGAATATGTAGTGGAGCCACTTAATCCAGATTACAGAAGAACTGTTACACCGCCTCTAATAATATTCTGCTAGTAATGCCACCTAAGATTGCATTAGCTTTTTTTTTAAACACCCATTCCACATAATGCAATATGGATTTAACAATAACATACAGATCCTTTTCATTTTTCTTTGGGATACAGACCTAGTAGTGGTATTGCTGAGCCAAGGGTATGCACAGTTGTATAGCCCTTTGGGCATAAGAAGTGATTTTCTTAAGTTTGATTGTACAAAGAAACTTGTACAAAGAAACTCTTGTACAAGTAAAGTGAGGGCATTTCAAAATAAAGCTAGTACCCTTACAAATTCTTTCCAAAAGACAGTTCTGTGATTATGTGGTATAGCAAAGAATCAGTGAAGACTTCAAATAAATACATACTTATTTTGAATTTTAAAATAAAAATATCTAATTTTCGTGCAGTGTTTGAACATCCAACCCAATACAGTTAAGTTAGTGCCTTACCCTTTTTCGTGCTTCTGACTTCTGGAAACATTCATGTTGGATAAAAGTGGCTGCAGCTTGAATCCTAGATGCTAGTGTGCTGTCTGAATCCAGCATGTTTACCGCATATTCCAGAGTCATCTCTACATCTTCATGGCTAGACATGGAAAATGTAATAACTTAGAGTTCAGTAAAATACAAGACTTTTTGGGGGCATATTTTGCATATTTGTTTTAAGTTCACAAATTTACGGAAAGTTATGTAGAAAAGAAATAGGAGGTAGGTGGCAGAGTGGATAGAGAGGGCAGGCCTGGAATCAGGAAGACTTGATTTCAAATCTGGCCTCAGACACTTACTAGTGGTGTAATTTTGGGCAAGTCACTTAACATGTTTGCCTCAGTTTCCTCATCTGTAAAATAATAATAGCACCCACCTCCCAAACTTGTTGTGAGGATCAAATGAGGCAATAATTGTAAACTGCTTAGCAAGGTGACTGGCACATAGTAAACACTATATAAATATTAGGTATTATTAATAAATTTTAGACTGTACTTTCAACTTCAAAACCTATATGAACAATTATTGTCTGCTTGCAAAATAAAAAAAATCAGAAAAATGTTGCAAGGTCAGATACTTGGTGGACTCATAGTGTCTCCTCAAGAACCAGTAGGTAACAGACCTATGCATAGATATCATATAAGTATCACTCTCCTATGTGAAAGAAGTATCACTGGCATATGTAAATATACTGGATATGGAGTGTAAAACATTGTGAAAGCCAGAAAAATTGGCTTAAGACAAGTCATACCATAATTACAAGAATAAATCACAAATATTAATACTGAACTGCTGAGGAGTAATTGCCACGTCTTTAAAATTAAAAAAAAAAAAAGACAACATCCGCTGAGGAGTAATTGCCGCGTCTTTAAAATTAAAAAAAAAAAAAAAAAGACAACCTGCTATAATCTATTACTGCTTGGCTTGTCAGCAAAAGCACACTTGGACTCTCTCCCCATAGAAATTTTTTTCTTTAATAAATAAGTCAATGAATCAGTAAATAAACATTTATTAAACGTTTACTATGTATCAGGCACTGTGCTTATTGCTGGGAATACAAAAAAAGGCAAAAGACAGTTCCTGACCTTCAGGAGTTCACTGTGTAATGGAAGAGGCAAATATGTACAGAGAAGATATGTGCAAGATAAATAGGAAGTAATTTACAGAGAAAAGGCCCTAGCATTAAGAGGGGTTGGAAAATGCTTCTTGTAGAAGCTGGGATCTTAGGTGGGACTTAGAGGAAGCCAGGGAGAATAGTAGGTGGAGAGAAGGAGGAATAAGTTGAGAAAATATATAAATATGAGAGATGGATTGTTAGCAATCTGGAACAGAGAGGCATTGAATTTCTTTTTCTAGTGTTACCTTAAGAGGAACTATAATTTATGTCAGTTTAGGGTCATAGACTCTAAAAGGTCCTTAACAATTAATCTAGACTCATTCTCAGGCTTCAGATAGAGTTGGATCTAAATCATTTCAGACAAAATACCATTCATTTTGTTTTTAAATACATTCCTGAAGGAAGATTCTAGATTGTTTTCTCAACAAATCTTAACTGCTGTGGAATCCTGGGCAAATCACTTCATTTCTTTGAACTTCGTTTTCCTCTAATGCAAAATGAGGGGGTTGGTCCAAATTGGAATCTTTTAAAATTTTACTTGCATTTAAATAGAATCACATTTTGTTAATAGGAATCTTCTCATTTAGAATGCCCATTGACATCTGATAGTGAAATGTCCAAGTTGCCTGAAGCATTTTTGCTTTTCCCCCTCTAAAATCACTGAGGTTTTTGCATTCAAATTATTTGCCTCTATTAAAATGTTCCCACACTAAATGAAAGTACCTCAAATTCAGTTTAAAAATGGAAGAATTTGAGTGCCTTCCCACTAATTAAAGCTAACTTTTTAATATATATTCAGTCTTGGAATAATTTATTAAACTTTGTCATGGGGGGGGGGAATCATCAACTCCACAGATAAATTAATCGAAAAATGGCAGATTCCCATACCAAAATGGCCTTGGGTGTGTGAATCAGTTCATTGTTACTGTCCAGTCTGCTTCCCCTTCGTGAAAGGGATGTTCACTGAAACAACATGTGTCTTGGCAGATGTTCTCTTGAGTATTTTATATTGTCTGCAGTTATTTTAAATGGAATTTCTTTTTTTGCTTGACTTTGTTGCTCATATTAGAAATTCTGATTTATGTGAACTATTTTATATCCTGCAACTTTGCTAAAGTTCATTATTTCAACTTTTTTAGTTGATTCTCTAGGATTCTCTAAGTATATCATCATATCTGCAAAGAGTGATGGTTTTGTTTCCTCATTACCTATTCTAATTCCTTCGATTTCTTTTTCTGCTCTTATTGCTATAAATAGCATTTTAAGTACAATATTGAATAATAGCGGTGATAATCGCATCCTTGCTTCACCTCTGATCTCACTGGAAAGGCTTCTAGCTTATTCTCATTATAGATAATGCTTGCTGATGGTTTTAGATAGATATTACTTATCATTTTAAGGAGAGCTCCATTTAAATATTCCCATGCTTTTTAGTGTTTTTAATAGGAATGAGTGTTGTATTTTGTCAAAATACATTTTATCCATCTATTGAGATAATCATATGAGTTGTGTTGTTTTTGTTATTTACATGATCAATTATGCTTATAGTTTCCTCAGTATAGAACCATCCCTGAATTCCTGCTATAAATCCCACCTGGTTAAAATGTATGATCTTTGTGATATATTGCTGGAGTCTCTTTGTTAGTGTTTCATTTAAAATTTTTGCATAAATATCCACTAGGTAAACTGGTCTATAGTTTTCTTTCAGTGTTTTTGCCCTTCCTGGTTTAAGTATCAGCACTATATTTGTGTTGCAAAAAGAATTTTCTTACTGGTTCTTTACCTAGTTTCCCAAATAGTTTATATATTATTGGAATTAATAGTTCTTTAAGTGTTCGGTAGATTTCACTTGTGAATCCTAGGGATTTTTCTTACAGAGATCATTGATGGCTTGTTCAACTTCTTTTCCTAAGGTAGGATTATTTAAATATTCTATTTCATCTACTGTTAATCTGGGCAAATTTATATTTTTGTAATATTCAAACATTCACTCAAATCAGATTTTTTTGAGCAAAAGAGGTCTTAACTGCTTTAATTTCATCTTCATTGATGGTGAATTCACACTTCATTTTTGATACTGGTAATTTGTTTTTGTTTTTTTTTTGTAAATCAAGTTAACCAATGGTTATCTATTTTTTTTTTTAAAATAAAAGCAGCTCCAAGTTTTAGTTCAACAATTTCCTTACTTTTAATTTTATTAATCTCTCCTTCGATTGTCAGGATAACCAATTTTATGTTTAATTGGGAATTTTAAATTTTTTCTTCTAGTTTTTTTTAATTGCTTGCCCAATTCATTGATCTTTTCCTATTTTATTGATGAAAGAGTTTAGAAATATAAATTATTCCTTCAGTATTGCTTTGACTGCATCTCATAAATATTGGTATACTGTCTCATTATTATCATTCTCTTTAGTGAAATTACTGATTTTTTCCTGTGATTTGTTCTTTCATCCACTCCTTCTATAGGATTAGATTATTTAGTTTCTAATTAATTTTTAATCTTTTTCATGATCCTTTATTGAACATAATTTTTATTACATTATGGTCAGAAAAGGATGCACTTAATATTTCTGCTTTTCTGCATATGATTCTGAGGTTTTTATCCCTAAACAGGGGTGGGAAATCTGGGGCCTTGAGGCTACATGTGGCCCTCTAGGTCCTCAAGTGCGGCCTTGAGGTCACAGGTTCCCCTCCCCTATTTCTTAGTGAGACATAGTTTTTGTGAAAGTGTCATGTACAGCTGAGAAAAAGTTATGCTTCTTTCTATTACCATTCAATTTTTTTTCCAGAGGCCTATCATATCTAACTTTTAAAAAAATCTATCCATCTCCTTAACTTCTTTCTTATTTATTTTATGGTTATCTAGTTCTGAGAGAGGAAAGTTGAGGTCCCCTACTAGTATAGTTTTGCTATCTATTTACTCCTGTAACTCATTTAATTTTTCCTTTAAGAATTTGGATGGTATGCCATTTGGTGCATGTATGATCTGTATTTATATTGGTTTGATTATCTACAGTAATTTAACAAAACGTAGTTTCCCTGCTTGTCTCTTTTATTAGGTCTATTTTTGTTTTTGCTTTGTTTGAGATTGTGATTGCTACAATTGCTTTTTTCTCTTTTAACTTCGGCTGAAGCATAATAGATTCTGTTCTAGACCATTGCTTTTACTTTGTCTGTGTCTCACAGTTTCTAGTGTTTTTTGTAAGCAACATCTTGTTAGATTCTGGTTTTTAATCCACTCACTATCTGCTTCTGTTTTATGGGTTTGTCCCATTCACATTCACAGTCATGATTACTAACTTTGTATTTCCCTTCATCCTATTTTCCCATTTCTCTCTCTCTGTCTCTCTCTCATTTCTAATGGAGCAATTAAGATATAATCATAAACCATAATTTGTTCATCCATTTTTCAGTTGTCAGAGGGAATTTAAGGTGCTTACTTCTACAGAATTATCCTCCCTCTTAATCATCTCTCTCCTTTTCCCTGCTTATTTTCCTGTTGATTCTGATGTATTTCCACACCAAACTCTTATGGGGATGGGTGTTCAATCCTTTATCCATTTAAGATCCATTCTAGATAAGTGATGTTCATCTGATGCCCACTTCTTCAACTCCTTCCTCCATGTTTGAATCTTCATCTTCAAAAGCACTCTAACTATGAGAAATAGTAAAATTTATTCCTTCTTCCTCCTTTTTACACTAATGTATTTATCCTTTTATTATCTCTTTTCTTTTCTCTCTTCAAACCCATATGTAAGAGAACAAATCCACCCGAGATTTGTTTTTCTTATTTTACTTTCTCTATACTCTTTGAAGACAATAAGGTTCTGAAGAGACACTTGTTTCTTCTTCCCTTATTAGAATGTTAGCAGATTTGTTCTGTTTGGCCCAAAGGACAAAACACAAGGGATGGGTAGAAATTTTAAGGAAGCAAATTTAGGTTTGACGTCATGAAAATTTTTCCTGACAATTACAACCACTCA